TGCCACACACGATAATATATATATATATATATATATATATATATATATATATATATATATATATATATATATATTTAACGAAGTCATGAAAGCAAAAGCATCTGCATTTCTTTTCATGAACCATGAAGTGACCTTATGTACAACCAGCAGCTGTAAACGTAAACACCCATACTCTCACATGCCAACTCCCCAAATGCTAACACACCCCAGTAATCACCTGTTCGTGTCCTTATTCTGGTTAGCATCGTACAGGCAGAAGGGTGTGTCGATGGTCGTGCACTCGGACATAAACTCAATGGAGCCGCCGGGATCAGCTGAGATGTCGCAGATGGCCAACATTCGGTGAGGTAAGGCGGGGGAACCGATCTAATGGGGCAAAATAGGACCAAAATAAATCATTAAAATGTCATTAAGTGGGATTGCAGTAGACGGAGAGTTGAAAATATTCTTACGAGGTTTTGCGAATGCTAGTTTTGTGCTGGAGAATAATTTGCTTAATGGAACAGAATCTTTCCCTTATCAATCTATACCACTGTAGTTTATAATTACATCGTGACACCTTTCTCACAAATTGATTCCAAGCAGACCTACATAGTCACTTTTATCAAATACCACAAAGTTTGTTCATAATCGCCACCCATTCCGGGCAAAAGAATCGAACGTATCGAACTATTACCTGGCACGAGTAAATTTTATGGGAATTTAAATATACAATAGAATATGTGTGTGTGTGTGTGTGTGTGTGTGTGTGTGTGTGTGTGTGTGTGTGTGTGTGTGTGTGTGTGTGTGTGTGTGTGTGTGTGTGTGTGTGTGTGTGTGTGTGTGTGTGAAGGTCAGATTTAGGCTTAAAGAGAACTAGCTTCAGCTCAGGGCCACATATTCGGAAGGGGCGTCCCATTTTTTCGTCGCAGTTGTATCATAAACATAAGAACTCAGTGACGCAGTTGAATGTAATACACATCAGTGAGCAAACTGAGTAAGGACGAATCTCAAATCCATTCCCAGTTTCAGCAGAAATTGAAGGTTTGTCTTCCTGAGTTTTGTTTATTTTATTACTTATACATTTTTTATTTCCCTTTTTTTTTTACGCTGATCAGGGATTTCCCTAAACACTAATAGGTATATAGGAGTGACTGAGGTTAGGTGTGTGCGTATGTATAATAGTATATATTTAATAAAGAGTACATATTTTTTCTTTTAGTTGCAATCGGGTTTTACCTCTATTTTGACTCTATCCCGTATCTCATGAAAATTAATTTATGAAATTTCTCTACGACAAATCAACTTCTTCTTCTTTTAAAAATTCAAGAACCCAACACTTGAACATCAGTTTCCCTGTGGAGATAGGATTTTTTTTAAAAATACATCTACAATAAGTATTTGTACAAAGTCTGTACAATTGGATTGTCTATCTACAAATGCAGGCTTGGTTTTATACATACTACATTTATTACACTACAATTACTTCCCTACGGTTGCTTTGAAGAGCATTTTTAAAAAGGATAAACCATTAAACAAAACCAGGAGAGTTGGAAATGAGAACAAGTGAACACCTTGTATTGTAGATTTTACGGTCAGAGGTGCAGGCTGTCATATTAGCAGATGGAGGAACCTTTCACACCGAATATTAACCTACAGTCGTCTCGAAGGCGGTGCATTCTCTTAGCATGCCCGATATTACCACCTACTACCTGATTATTCTTTGTGCATGAATAAAGATTGCGTAACTGCACACCACTACTGTGAATATCGGTGCATATGAATATAATTAACGAATTGATAATACATAGACCAGGATAGTGCATCATCTTACAGACAAGGAAAACGTGACAGCTCACTCCTAACTTTGGCGTACTCTGATAGAGAGAGAAAAAGCAACAATACAGCGGTGTAAAACAATGAAAGAATTATATGAATTTGAAAGATACGAAACACGTCTTAAATGTTAGTTAATATGAATAAGGAAGCGACAGCTAATCGAAGTACCCCACAGCCCGGGTGAGTCGCCATTTTTTTCTTGTAATTAATCGCATAACAGTTACCACGTCATATATATAAGAATGAATGCGTTAAGAATCAGATTTCTGAAATGAATTATCAGGTAAAAAAGTTGCTTTCCGTTTTCCTTGGCCAAAATAATAGAAATATATTAAACCAGGAAATGTGCTCTCTTACAAAGACAACGTGTGGTGTACATAGCTATACAATAATCAAACATGCAACAATATACCAACACAAAAAGCCTGTGTAAAAGTGACAGTTTGCATCAACACCAACCCCTTTATTAGCACGAGGGATGTAAGAAGTTAAATGACAAAGGCTGGGTAATTTTTTTTAACAAACGTTTGTAGGGGGAGGTGGGAAAGACGTTTAACAAAGGTCGTATTTAGAAGTGGGGTGGTTGATGCAATGATTTCACGTATGGCATTTTTTGCAATTTCTGATGCAAGTATTTCACTTAATTTATCATTTTTATAATGCCAGATGCAACATTTTCAAATATTGCTGTTATCCTTTGTACATCAGATCTTTAGTTCAGATTTTTGAAAATCAAATGATCTGCTTCTGAATACACCTTGTTTCTGAGAAAATCATTGTGCAAGTTTGGTGTGCAGAGGGGATTCAGCCCTGGAAAACTATCCAAACACTGATGTCACAAAACCATACTGTCCCATGGCCTTGGTTGCATACTTTAGCTGGTCGAGAATACGTTCAGATTTCTAAAAACTAAAGTGAATGTATTTTTTTTTTTTTTTAAGAAATATTATTAAGGATTTCCATACCGTTGTTGAATGGCATCTGTAGGTATGTAAACGATTTGATTTACAATTGATAACTGATACACAATTTCTTCAGTTCTTCACAGGCGCAACTATATATGAATTTTAACAAACAAATATTTATGAGAGTAACGGCGAGAAGATTTGAATTTTTACGTAATGCTCTTTTCACAAATTATGCACATAAGTATGAACTTTGGTAAGCAGCATGTTTTCATCATTTAAAAAATCAGATTGGACACAACTTCAAAGTTTCCTACACAAAAAAATATTCTACAGCAAGTATTTGATACAGTAGGCCTACACACAACATGAATTGCAGTATCACGTCTACAAACATTCTAACGAAAATTCCTGCATATTCATAAGGGGCCAACTGACTGTATGCTTCCATGAGGTCAGAGACACATCTATCATAGCCTACCCTATTCTTGCCACGTGCAGTGTAGTGGGTTTGCACTTTACGTTCGTCCATACTTATCCCATGCTTTGTCTCCCTCGGCAGCTGCTTCTGTTCTTGATGATGTGGAAGAAACATCCTTTTAACTCTAATCCCCATCACAACAGTCATCTTTTGTTTACAGAACTCTCGTTTCTGGAGAGACAAGGGCTGTGCATATCTAGTTATGATTATTATTTAGTAAAATATATCCATATCGCATTACTGACGACTTTATCGTGATCTATGTCATCATCGCAGAGGCTGGACTATACACTATACATAGAGGAATTTGTATTAGTGGGTATTTTACTGCCAGAGTTAAAGCCTAGATTAAAAGAAGTGACAGACGAAAAGAGAACACATCGTAAGTCAGCTACCCAGTGTAGCACTGCAAAGATCTATGTACCCCAGCAAAGTTTGAGTTAGAGGAAGCGGAAATCATTGCTACTCTAGGTAACTGAAATTTCATGAAAGATACCAATTGCTTCAGATGCATGTACCAACCATACTCAAGACCTTGTAATACAAAAAAAACTTGAGAATTCTGTTAGAATAATAATGATAATATAATTGAAATTAAAATAACATTTCAGAGATAAGGCGACAACTTGGAATCTTTTTACCTTTCAAACAAACCTGTTACACATGTTGGGTTTCTACCATCGTATTAAAGAAAAAACATTGTGGTTTCGCAATTCAAGAATGCATACGTTTAATATAAAGGTCTGTCTTACCGATGTTGGAAGCCATGGCGTGTAGACTGGTTGTAGAAGGTACTTAGCATCTGGAATTGTTAATAACTTAGGGGAGTTCACAGCCCAGTATATGCCATTCACGATCACAGACGCATAAGGAGCAATCTGTGGGTAAAGAGTTAGTGGACAATGTTTATCGTTATTAATATACACCTAACACATATAATGGATAAGCAAATATATACATGTTCAAACTGAATATGCACATTTAGAAACAAGTGATAAATATACAACCAAATGAAATGACAAAGGCTAACAAGAAAACAAGCGAAGAGACAAGGATTTTTTTTTCTTACTTTGTGCGCAAAAACGGAAATGTATCTCTCTGGGTGTTCCTCGTACTCGACCGCATCGTATTTGCCTCCGTCCTTTCTCACCAGATGGTCTTGGCGACTGACTTCACACGCGTACATCTTATTCAGCGCTTTTGGAAGACATTCAGGCTCTTTTATATGGAATGTATTACGGTTTATATTCATGTCTTTTGGAGTATTCTTATGTGATATCAAAGGAGTCAGTGGAAGACGTTCTTGAAATCAAGGGCAACAATATCAGATATCTAATAGGAAAGTGAACTCCTATATTTAACTAACATTTTAAAATAGGACACTGAAATACTGTATATTCTCATGAATACAATAATAAATTGATGGCATTAACGTTTACGCATGCATCTTAAACTGCCAATAACACCACTAAGAAATCCACGGTATTAATTTCTACGTAAACATTTTATCAAATCAAGGCAGCCTCCTCTTACATCCATGTTCGGAGACCTTCTTGAGGGCCTGAGGGCTGACGTATTCATGAGGAAGGTCCTGGAATATTTCCTGTGCTCCTTGCGACACGTTTCCGGTTCCTGTGAACACGAAAGTCAGTGGACCAATGGATTTTGGCATCATTCCCAGGGATATTTCGTAGCCTGTGTCACGAATGGCCTGTCTTGCCATTTCGGTGTTGCGGTAGTTGTGTGCAGGTCCAATATGCTGAAAAGAAAATTATACGTAAAAGAGTGGAATGTGTTGGTGTTTACGTTTCACGCCCTGATCCGTTTTCTGTGAAATACCCCAACAGTTGTTGATTTTATCTTGGGCGTGGGGGGGGGGTTCTTTATGAGATAAACTATTTTTTTATTTCATTCACTTTATCTGTACTCCAGGGCAACCAACCTACCATGAAAGGTGTGTGGTGGCCCAGGGCAAGGAGTCGGAGTCCAAGCCCATTGAGGATGTTGATCATTCCCGCAACACCAGCGTATTTTCCGAAGGCGACTACTCTCTGGCCTCGCTCGTCGCACATTCTCTCGTAGTCGATCAGTCTGATGTTCTGCAAGGTAAGGTTGATTTGACTTTTGGTTGGATGTGTTCGCTCTCTCTCTCTCTCTCTCTCTCTCTCTCTCTCTCTCTCTCTCTCTCTCTCTCTCTCTCTCTCTCTCTCTCTCTCTCTCTCCTCTCTTCTCTCTCTCTCTCTCTCTCTCTCTCTCTCTCTCTCTCTCTCTGGCTTTTATTGATGGAGACTGATGTTGGTTGAAGTTGGGTTGGTCACCGCCGTATAAAACCGCGTTTGATAACTTTTTGAATATCCAGATACCATGAAAGTCACGGAGGATTATATACAAACCTTTTCTAAAATGGCATCCAGGAGGGGCATATTTGCTTCCTGTGCCTTGATAGTATGCGAGAAGAAACAGTAGGTGCGGTTGGGTATTAGCTGATCAATGGGCACCTGTTTGACGCCTATGACAACGGGCGCTTCGGATATGTCTTCCTGTATTTTCGCGCCCGCATTTTGATAAGCCTGGAAAGAGATATCAGTTAGATATTTGAAAGAGAAAAAAAGTAATGGTGGGGAGCTGGCTTGAGTGATTGCAATATAAGAAATGATATTTATGGTTATATTTTCACCAGTTTCTAATAAGCGTTTTTCTTATTTTCAAGAATACAAAATTCATCACAGGACATATTTTTTATATATAATATATATGATATGGTCTATACTCTGAAAAAGACGAAAAGAAACTGAATGACATATTTCTCGTAGCGAGTGATATGACTAACCTGCATTGGGTAAGCGCGTCGGTTTGAAGGCTGTACAATGACCTTGACTCCATCCTTGACCAGCTGCCTGACCTGCGATGGCCCGAGGGGCGCTCTTCTCTCCCATACACTCTGGTCCTCACGTCTGATGGCTAGCACACGGCCTCGTACATTCCGCTGTTGATTTTTTTTTTCAGAAGAAAGGGATAATTGTTAACAACGAAAATTATCCTACCTGCAGTATAGATATTTAGTCGATCTAACAACCAAGGCAGTGTGGTTTTGGCTTGTTTGTTGATTTATTGAAATGTGTATTTGGGTTATTGACGAGGTGATTTTGGAATATGTGTTATATATGATTAGGTTTAGAACAGTTGAGATTTATTTGTGTAAATGTTGATATGTGTCCTTGTGTTTGTACGAGATTTACGTGTGAATACGCATCCAGGTATATGTAATAAAACATGTGCGTATATCTAAATGACTACATGTACATCCTTAGTGAAAGCAAAGTGCCCAAGTACTCACACTGATCCACCTGCGTGCCGAGGCCGAGTGCGAGGGCAGGCACCGTGCCACAGCAGGCGCGGCGCTGAGCACATGTGACATTGCGGATC